TTGTAAACGAAAATGCGCACCTGCCGACTCAAGCTCGGGATTTAGGGTTTAGGGCTTAGGGTATTAGGATTTAGGGTTTAGGGTTTAGGGTTGAGGATTTAGGGTTTAGGATTTAGGGTTGAGGGTTGAGGATTTAGGGTTGAGGGTTGAGGGTTGAGGATTTAGGGTTTAGGGGGTTTAGGGTTTAGAAACCCCCGCCTCGGAAGGAATCTAAACACGAACCCCCCCAAAACCCAAAACCCTCAAAGCCCTCCCTCTTGGAAAGACTTCTACAACCACTAGGCCCGAAAACCCTGTAACCCCTCAACCCTAAACCCCTAAACCCAAAACCCTAAACCCCTAAACCTTAAACCCTAAACGCCAAACCCCGCAAGTGCCCCCAAGGCCGCGACCAGGAGGTGATCCAGCACACAGGCGTGTACGAAGGGCACCTCCGACGCGTCGGCCTGCGGAACTGGAAAGCCCTCTTTCAGGGGCACACCGAGGGTTTAGGGTTTAGGGTTTAGGGTTAGGGGCACACCTATAGTCTCCATTGTAGTTCCTTTTTGGGGTTACCTTTTTAGGATTCTTAACATAAAACTGGTTGAACCAAAAAAAGGAACTACAATGGAGACTATAGGCAGTCTTCAAGAACAGAAAGGAGAGTAAGAATACAAAGAATAGTAATTATGGGCCTAGAAAATAGAACGAATGCTTAGAATTAGTGGAACCAGTAACACTACTAGAAAGTAATAGGACAGGGTCAGGAACCAGTCCTTTGGTTGAGGGGTTGATGATTACAGGGGTTTCTCTTCCGGCTGATGCCACCCCGGCATCCCTGTAATGTCATGTATACAATACAATACATAGCATGTTATAACGTGTGATCACATTTTTTCAGTTGCATTGGACCAACAAAAATATAGTAGAACTCCCTGAGCCAGGAACCGCTTGGCTCTCGTTGCGTGTTCGGGTCCAAGCTATGCCAGCTATGCCTAAAATCCCTTGGCTGCTCAGTTCATAAGCCCGAACCCGAACAACTGTATACGTTCAGCTTTACAAGGGGTAATCTTATACCGAAGACTGGAAAGTGTACTCACCCAGCTACGGACAACCTGCTGCAATTGGCAACTACAAGATGGATCGCCACTGAACGCGAGCAAAGCGTTTCTGCAAGACCCCCAACACCTCGTCAGCGGCCTCACCCTAAACCCTAAACCCTACACCCTAAACCCTAAACCACAAAGTCCAGGAGAAACTACGGGCCTAGGGCTCCCATCGTAAAGCCGCACCAAATGTAGGGCCGAAATAATTACCAATAGATTTTAGGGCTTCCTCATTATAACTCTATAATGTAATTATCCCAAAACCAAATTCCAATTATTTCGGCGCCTATATTACCTACTAGATTCACTAGATGAGGCACAACGCGCGTTGGTTTACTGGGTGCCGCCTGCCCGGCGTTGGCCACCCGCATGTTGCGGGCCCACCCGTTTACAATTACAACGTTTGGGTGGTTGTCTAAATTAGGGTCCCCTGTAGGGTCCCCAGAATTAGGGTCCCTTTTAGGGTCCTTTTATAGGGTTTAGGGTTTACAACACTTGGGCATTTGTTTGCCCAGCGAACCCAATACCTCTTCATTAGGGAATATACCTTAGAATCTAAGGGCCTTAAGACTATATGATTTAAGGTATACTTAATTAAGGGGTATTGGGTTCTCTGGGAAAATTAGGGTCCCTTTTTAGGGTCCGTTTAAACTATATCGGGGACCTAAGAAGGGACTGTAATTTAAAGAACTGCCCAATAGATTTCCTCATATGGCGGGATAAGAAAATCTGAGCGTAGAGGGGAACTTTCCAAATTCTAGACGTGCCTCAAGACATCGCGGTGCAAACGAGTGCCCCGCGGAAGCGCGGAGTTTTGGCGTTAAGATCATTTTCAGTGAAGAGAGTAACCGAGGGGTAGGGTGGGCCGGGGGAAAGTAGGGGGGGCAACATCCCAGCCAAGAAACCCTGAAAACGCAATATAGGGGCCTTAATATTTTAGAAAGGGTTGTGGGGTATCTTATGCTACACTTATAATACAGGAACCCCCAAAAAATAAAGGTAATGCTCAACGGGGGGGTTAGGGTTTAGGGTTTAGGGTTTAGGGTTTGGGGTTTGGGGTTTGGGGTTTGGAGTTTAGGGTTTAGGGTTTAGGGTGTAGGGTGTAGGGTTTAGGGTTTACGGGGGTCTGGAACTGATTCTGAACCAAGTGGCCGTGGTGGCCTGCAAGGCTAAGCAAACCAAGCGCAAATTCACAAGACTTCGAAAGCAGCAGTGTATGTACATACATTTTGGTCTGTACTTCTATACACGTCAAAACACAGGAACACACACACACACACACGCATGTTCTTTGTAGTTTGGCAGCTACGAAGGTCACTTAGCACTGAGCATAGGCCCAGAGAGTGCAACACCCCTTAATTCAGGAATATACCGCAAATATACCTGAAGTTATAAATAGGGGCCTTGATTTTAACTAGATCCCTTTAAGGAACCTTTTAAGGTATATTCCTTAATTAAGGGGTATTGGGCTCTCTGGCTACCCAGACCCCCAAACGGATCTAAAAAATAGATCCCCTAATTCGGGACCCTAATCACTAAAGGGTACTTTATAGGAACCCCCTTAGGGATCTATTTCCCTAAACCCTAAACCCTAAACCGATCCTTTTGGGGCTCTCTGGAAAGGTGCCAGGCCGGAATCCTGGGCTCTGTTTCTCGGGCAATGCGTCGCGCTCGTCTGCACTGGCTCGGTTTAGGGTTTAGGGTTTAGGGTTTAGGGCTTAGGGTTTGGGGTTCAGGGTTTAGGGTTTAGGGTTTAGAGCGGTTGCTCTCCGGCTGCCAGGTAGCTAGAGCCTAGACTCTGAACTCCTAAACTCTAACCCCGAAGAACCATAACCCCTAAACCCCTATAAACCCCTAAACCCTGAACTCCTAAACCCTAAAACCCTAAGTGAACTCAGAACCTCCAGCCCTAACTGTGAGGAGCTTGATGCATAATGCAGTGGCCTCTCTTTTTGAATAGGGCTGTGGGCCCCTTCACAGTATAAGGAATAGGATGGATAAGCGTTTAAGGCCCCGGGATTAGTCCAGAGGGCCCGCGCGTCTCAGCGTCCTCCGTCCTCAGCTCCTCGCAGATGTCCTCGATCTTTCGATGGGCTTAAGGCTTCGAGGACTTTAAGGGTACTTGGGATTTATGCAATAGAAGCCCAAAAGTTGGAAACCCGTTAGCCTCAATCTGCAAAAGTAATGTATAGGGAATCCCAGCACTAATTGTCCTTCATCCGGTTTCCAACATGTTGGGGTTTACTTATAAGTGTTTGGAAGGTTTGTTTGGGGGGGCTTGGGGGGGACTTAGGGTTTACTGCCGCAAGCCAGATACCCCTTAATTAAGGAAGATACCTTAAACCATAATATTGAGGCCCCTGTAACTGCAGGTATATTTCTTCATTCCCTTCTAGAAACAAACCCTATTTGGGTTCTCTGGCCCTAAACCCCTAAACCCCAAACCTTAAACCCTAAACCCCCAACCGTAAACCCCTAAACCCTACACCCCAAACGGCCCCAAACCCCAAACTCCAGACTGAATGAAGGGGTATTGGGCCTAATTCCCTTATAGAACACTTATAGAGACCCTTATAGATCACTTCCTAAGCCCTAAACCCTATACCGTAAACCCCTAAACCCTAAACCCTAAACCCCTAAACCCTAAACCCAAACCCCTAAACCCCTAAACCCTAAACCCTAAACCCTAAACCCTAAACCGTAGGTGTATGTTTGAATCTAAGGGAAAAATTGGGTTCCCTGCCGCAAGGACCCGGGGCCTCGGACTCGGACGCGATCTCCTTCGCTTCTCATCCAGCTGGGGATGCAGACGTGGACACCATCTCCTAGGTTCTTGGGGTTTAGGGTTTAGGGGTTTAGAGTTTAGGGTTTAGGGTTTAGGGTTTAGGGTTTTAGGGTTTTAGGGTTTAGGGTTTTAGGGTTTTAGGTTTTAGGGTTTAGGGTTTTGAGGAACTTAAGTAAGTTTGGAGTTTGGGGTTTAGGGTTTGGGGTGTAGGGTTCAGGGTTTGTAAGGCTACCAAAATAAGACCATAGTATTTCTTCTAGGTACTTGCTTAAGGAACTTAATGAAGGCTTGCAAGATAAGGAGGCCATAGTATCTGTCACAGACCCCAATTATAGTAATGTAGGGGCCTAACAATTACCAATACTGTTTTGGGGGTTCCTTACTATATAAGTATAGCATCAGGGGCCCCAAAACCATATTCTACTTACCAAGGCCCCTATTATAGAACCCGATCATAGATCCCTTATACAACCTTTTTAAGCATCCCTGTCACAAGAACCTTGTTGTACTTACTAAGGCTCCTAATATAGAACTCGATCAGAGATCCCTTATAGAACCCTTTCAGATCCTTCTAAAGGAACCCTAATCTAGAACCATTTCGGGATCAGTTTAAAGGAACCCTAATCTAATTATCAAAGCACCTACATTAACTTAAACTCCTTAGCAAGCACCCAGACCCAGTCTCATTCTCGCCACGATGACTTCTTCCGGCTCCAGGAAGGGACCTTCCGGTCTGTGGCTCAAGGCATCATCAGCTCCTGACGTCGCCACGATTTAGGGTTTAAGGCTTATAGGGTTTGGGGACGATTTAGGGTCTAGGGATCAGCAGTGAAAACTTGTAGGATAGGGCTACGTTATCAAAGAGCCCCAAGAGTTCATGAAGTTGGGTTTTGGACCATCCCTAAGCCCTAAGCCCAAAACCCTAAACGCTAAGCCCTAAACCCTAAACCCTAACCCCTAAACCCTAAACCCTAAACCCTAAACCCTAAGCCCTAAACCCTAAACCCTAACCCCTATACCCTAATCCCTAAA